GAGCTGATTGAAGTTACACAACTAAATTGACAGTTGTAAAAGGGGACAATGTGACAGCCCAAAAATGAATAAAACTGAAGCAGACAACAAAAATATCACTCTCTTGGTAGAAGAATGTAGATTTAAGTTTGCTCCATACTTTGGCTGTACAGAAATCCAATATTTGTGAAATAGCATAACTGATATGTGCACTACAGAATGTCAAGTGGTGCAAAAGAACACATCAAGATTAATGGAAAATAAAATACCCCAGAATTAGTTTTATTAAAAACTGTATATACTATAAATACTATTCTATAAAATAAATTTCATACACAATATTCCAGAGAGAATAAATCCAACGTGCAACCTTCAAAGTTAAACTTACACAGTTAAAAGATAAAGTAGTCATGTGGAATTTAAGCTTGCTAAATTATTTTTTGTGTGTTTGTTGGTTATAGTGTATTTAACTCTAATACTTGAAAAAAAAAATTGTTGACTTTATGTATAAAATAAATTTAACAATTTTACACACTGTTATAATGAACTGCCATCTGGGAGAAGGTACCGCAGCATTCGGACCAACACAACCAGACTGTAACAGCTTCAGTCCACAAGCTATCAGACTCCTCAGCTCTGGACTCTGACACACACGTGATGGACTCTGACACACACGTGATGGACTCTGACACACACATGATGGACTCTAACACACATGATGGACTCTAACACACATGCTGGACTCTGACACACACATGATGGACTCTGACACACACATGATGGACTAACACACACATGATAGACTCTGACACACATGATGGACTCTGACACACATGCCGGATTCTGACACACACATGATGGACTAACACACACATGATGGACACGGACACACAAATGATGGCCTTTGACACGTACATGATGGACTAACACACATGATGGACACTGACACACACATGATGGCCTTTGACACACACATGATGGACTCTGACACACACATGGACTAACACACACATGATGGGCACTGACACACAAATGATGGCCTCTGACACACACATGATGGTCTAACACAGACATGATGGACACTGACACACACAAGATGGACTCTGACACACACATGATGGACTAACACACACATGGTG